ACTTTGCGATTTTTTTTTCTCTGGGGCTATGTGAAGGGACGGGTCTATATCCTCTTCTTCTTACAAGCCTAGAGGAATCCAAGCAAAGAATCATTGCCTCATTGGAAATTGATACCGAAGAAATACCGCAGCGTATTTGACAGGAGCTGGACTACCAACTTAACGTTTGCCTATTGAAATCTTGCGAAAACTTGGAAAATCATTGATGAAATCCACATACCTTTGAATGTTCTCATTCAAATTTTGCTCAGCAATAAGCCTGCTTAGTTTCCTTTGCCTCGATCAGTGTTTTTCAAACGTTTTTTTAATTCAGAGCGCGCTTGTAGACTCAATGAAACTCTGAGACGCACTTTAAGTTTTTTTATAAAGAAAAATAAGTCCTGAAATTTGAAAATAGAAAAAATTCTCCTAAAATAAGCAATTATTTTTACATTACATTGCTTGGTGTCTTTAGCTTTTTAAACTAAAGATTTTTTTTTAAATATAAAAATAGTTAATAAATTTCTCTTCTGTTATCTTAGGGTACACTTGGCTACCTTTCAGGGTACATTAATACGCCCGGTCGCAACGGTTGAAAAACGCTGGCTTAGACTCTGTACTCATATATTCACATCTCAAATGATTAACACGAGTAGATACGTTTGCCTATCATCCGGTTCGCACTCCTTCACGGTTTTTTTTAAAACAGGTTTAGAGGTCTATCCATTGTTTCCTGTTTCTGACTGGGTTTCCGGTTCCTTCTAAAGTCTTTTTATTCGCTTTCACTCCCAGTAGATCTCGATTGAATTGATTAAAAAAATATCCATTTTTTTTAAAATACCCTGTATATTTAAGTGTTTTGTCACAAGTTAACATGAAAACAGCAGATGTTTTAACGAATGTTGTTGGCTGTAAAATCTCGTAAGTTTTTTTACGTTATTAATATGTTTTCGTTATCCCATGAATACATTCTACCACAACGTATCGATCCGAAAAGCAATTCTTCTTTGCAATGATCCCATGCCATTAAGACAAAAAAAAACATATATAAAACAAAAGATTCTACTTTACGAACGCCTTTAAAATTGTATTTAAAAATAAAACACGATAACAATTTTTTATTGAATTTTTAATAATTTCGACTTTCTAACAAAAAAATTCCTGCTGCCATAAAGAAAATCTAAATATTGACTCCATTACATTAAAACGAATCACCCACAGATATTTAAATGGGAAATCCTTTTCCTTTCATTTTTTTTTTTCTGTATTCCCCACTCCACGCCGCCGATTTTTTTTTTTTTTTTGCATTTTGCGGACCGCACAAAAAAACAAAATAAAAAATTCTCTCGTTTTTATGTTTTCCAAAGAGAAAAGAAAAATCTAAATAAACAGAAAAATGAGAAAAACTAGACGAATGAATTAATTGCTGTTTTTAAGGTCTGACAGTTCAGATAAAATATTGTCGTTTATCGGACTGTAGAAAATATTTCGCAATGGACTATGGATAACGTTTCTTCTTCGGTGCGACGACTTTTTGTTGTTGTTTTTTTTTTTTAACTTGTAAAAATGTAGGAATAAAATTTTTTTTAAAAAATCTAGTAAAAGAAATGCTGGAAAAAAATAATGAAACTAGAGGAGGTAAAAAAAAAAACAAAGAAATGCAACAAAAAAATGAGCAAAGAAATATTTGTTGAAATCCGAACCTTTCATTACTAAAACGTAAAAAGCTGCTTCTTGTCATATGAAGAGAAAAAAAAACGAGTAAAAATAACAAGGATACAAGAGAGGTCTGTCGCAGAACGGTTATTAACCATCTAGTCTCGCAATCTCGCAAGGTTATTCGCGAATTGAGAAAATTCTTTCCTCAAGATCTCATGGCCGTTTATCATACTTTGCAAAAATCAGATGGGTTACCGTAATACAATAGTAAGTTAAGCTTGATAGAATATAGCTAATGACGTGAGTTGTATTCCTCTCCAAATCCCCCCCATCACAATTATATGCATAAAAGCTAAACTCTGTCAACAATGCTTGCCTTAATACTTGACCACTGACAATAATTTTCTCCTTAATTTTAAAAGCATTTCTCTACCAAATGCTTATCTTTTGTTATGAAATATATATAACATCCCTATTCATTCAGTAATACTTACATTAAAAACTCATCACTAACAATACTTTTCTTCCTGTTTTTCAATGAATATCATTGTCTTTATATCGTAAAATTATTTTTAGTACATTTATACAGTCATTTTTTATATATTAATATTATTTTGGTAATGCTCATTAACGTAGTTAATAGAAAATCTGTTCTTGAAGCATGATGTCAAAAGGACAACTTACAACTTAAGAACATTTTGGAACATCCATGAAAAGTAAATAATGGCAGTTTTATTATTATTATTGTGTATGTTATTATTATTTTTATTATTATTATTATTACATTATCATTTATGTATGTTATGTTTCCTGCTTTATATCCTGTAGAACATGAGTCCCTATATGATAATTGTCATTTAATTGATAGCACTTTTCTTAGTATATGGGATTTTCCTAGTAGGGCGATCTTCTGGGCAACTTATATTCTAGTGTTTCCTGGGACACTGTTAATAAAATTGTCCATTCCTTTTCTGATGAGGCCCAGAGCTCCGATTACTATTGGTATAGTTTCAGTCTTCATTAATCGAAATCTCCAGGTCCTTACATTTGGATAATTCCTCGATAATTTTTATGGAGGTGTTTCTCTCAGATGGTACTATGTCAATAAGCATACACTTCCTGAACTTCTTGTCTCTTACGATAATATCAGGTCTTTTGGTTTTCAGTTTGAACTGGCATGTCCCAGAGGATAGTTATATCGATATTTTGTGTAACTGTGTCTGTTTGGTGCTCATACCATTTCTCAGTAGTTTCGATTTTGTGCTTATTGCATATCTTCCAGTGCACATATGTCGATACCTTGTTATGTCTGTGGGTATATTCATTTTTTGCTAGTCTCGGACATCCTGAGATAATATAATCGACGGTTTCATATTTTCCTCAGGTCCTGCATTTCGGGTTAGTTCCATCCTTGATTATGTGACAGTGATAGGATCTGGTTGCGAGGCTTTGGTCCTAAGCTGCAATAATTAGGCCTTCTGTCTCAGCTTTCAGCCCGGTGCTCCTCAGTCACTCATATGTTTTCTGTTGGTCCACATCTCCTTCTTTCGTTCTTTTTAGGTATTTGACATGCAAAGCCTTGTCCTCCCAGATTATCATTATTATTATTATTATTATTATTATTATTATTATTATTATTAGTTGACATCTTCTCCGACCCTGAAATGTTTGGGTCGGGTGATGATGATCATATCTCCTACCCGCAGCTTAGTGCCACAGCACTTTCCTCAGCACATGAGCTGTTCCAAGCTGTGCTGCCACCTGCGCAATCCCAATGATGCCAAATATCCCCAAGGCGCTATGTGTTGCCAAAAAAAATTCCTGGAAATAGTCCCTCTGGGGAAGAAACTGTCTGAGTGGAACTTCTTCCTTACCAATGGAATATGAAGGAAATGGAAAGGGGTCGATTCCGTTTATGTGGCCTGGCGAGTCCTACCTGTGAAGGTCTGAACTGGTGGAACCAATGCATATCGTTCTTCCGAAAAGTAATTTTGGCGTGGAAAAATAATTCATCGCCCACAAGGCCGTACAAATGCTTTTGAAATCTGTCAGGACTGAAAAATGAGGAATGTGCAGCCCCAGCCCAGATGCGGTATCAATAATCTATCTTTGACCCGTGCTGAAAATCTATCTTTGACCCGTAAAGAAAAAGACCGACGGGGAAAGGTGTTTTTCTTGTACGGTACAAGGGACCCTTTATTTTCCAACGTGGATCGTATATCCAATTTCTACTTTGAATTGGAGGCACAGTGGAATAATGGATAGCGGCTCGGATTGAGGAATCGGAGAGCCGAGTTCGAATTCCAGTCAAATCCATTAAATTCACTTTTGTGCTAATACCCTCGGGTAAGGTATGAATCCTCTTCTTCTCCCCTTAGCGTTCGGTAAAATAGCAGGACAGACCGGGTTCTATAGCCTTGGATGGCCACTGGTTTACAGCAGAAAGAAATGGCAACCTACTGCGAGAAAAATCTGCCTCGTCCGTCATGTATCGAAAGATACATGATCGCCTAAGCGTGTATCACGCATGGCACATAACTGACTATAAATTGAGCTTGAGTCTCACTTTCACACAACATTAGCCCAACCAGACATCTATGGGACGTAGTGGAGAAGTTTATACGCACGCAAAATCCTGCACCTATATAAGGAAGATGATTTTTTAATCATTTCACCCCAAGCAAGGTAATAAAGCCATTGAAAGACAAGGGGTTACTTAAACGCATCTAGGTCGACCACTTGTTTACATGTCGGGGTTACTCAATGATATGTAATGAAAGCGCGAATCTGTACATAGCGGCTAGGATATCATCTCTCATGTCAACACGCTGATGTAACTAACATTTCAGATGGACACTGAACGCAAGGTTTCTTTTAGCAACATATGTGCTGAGTGACTTGCTATGGAGGTATAGTTTTTCTTAGGATCGTTTCGCTGTATAGGTCAAATAAATAAACATTCATTAGCGCCTAAAAATGCATCATTGTCGTATTCCTCTTTCTGCTGTTGTGTATTTGCATAACTCGTTTCCGCAAATAACTTCGTGCTGTTTTTTATTTGGGGCGGGGAGTTCTACTGATGTAAGACGGGAACACAAAAAATTTGGCTCACGCGAAGAGGAGGAATTTCTCAGATGATGAACAATATTTTAAATAAGTTTTTTTCTTCTTTTTTTTTGCATGTGAGTTTCATTTTTATCTTACTTAAAATAAAATAAAAAAAAGCGTTATATATCGAAAATGTTGCTAATTTTTTCCATCTTGTTTGAATCAACAAAAATATATCAATTTGGACATTTTTAAATACCAGCCGACATGAGATTGTCATAATATAATCAACGCGATCTTTTTTTAATGTAAGCTTACGGTCATATCACGTCAAAACACCAGTTCTCGTACGATCACCGAAGCTAAGCAACATGGAACTTGGTCATAACCTATATGGGTGACCGCTTGGGAGTACCAAGTGCTATAAGCTTGGATGTGCGGGTGGTGTAATGGTAAAAGTTCGGATTTGGAAATTGGAGAGCCGAGTTACAATTCCAGTCGGGTACGCTATATTCAAATACGCGCAAAAGAAAAGGTATGGATCAATCTCTTTTCTCGACTCCTAGCTATGGGTTAATATTGTGGTGTACTCCCTCTAAAGAATCTATGTTGGACTCTTCCGCCTGCTATAAATAGGAGAGAAGGCCAGATCTGTTCGTACTGTGCTGGTCAAACTCTCTGCCTCCGGGAAAATAGGATCCCCAGACGAGGCTATGTCGAAGGGCAGAGTCTCGTCTCGGGAAACAGCTACCCGACCCTGTTTTATGCGGGGTCTATGGGGAATTTTTGGCCAAGCCAACGGGCTTGGATTTCCCCACATTAAACTCGGCCTTGTGCCACATCTTACTTCGCGGGGAGGTTAGTAAATATAAAAGTCGAATAAATTGAACGATGGTCAACCGACACACACTCACTAGTCGTGTAATACTCTTCTGTTGTACTTACTGTTTAATATATGATATATCGGTAACATTTGTTTTGTTATTTCTTTAACCGTTTAATTGGTCACAACAGTTAATTAGTAGGATTTGAATCAGTAAATCATTATTATCTCTAAAATAAATTCTTAAATTCTAGAAAAATTTCTGGTTTAAAATAAACTTCAAAAGGTTGATAAGCCGTAAAAATGCAAACCAACCAATCTTTTAATGTAGTTAAAACAAAACACTACTATTAGCATCTAACGAAAAAGTAAAAAAAAACAACATATTTTTTGTTTTTATCCAATATAATTGAGGTGATTGAAGTGAGTTCTTAACATATTTTTATACTTCACCCACACAGAAATCATTTTTGAAAAATCCGATTTGAATTCAAAGACGAAAATGAAAAAAACATCCGAATGAGTGGGATTGTTAAAAAAAAATTAATTCCAAGGCAGCGCCAATAAAAGACTATTCTGAGGATCAATACTTGTTCAATCAAAATCTTTTAATTAAAACGACGAGTCCTTTAATTAATTGCCGGACATCATAACATTAAAAACAGACTATAAAATGAACATGTGCTAAACAATTTTTTCAAAATTTCTGAAGTGACTGCATATGGACCAAATAAGCGGTTGTTCTTCGTGAAAACGACGGATTGTCTTCATTACCTTCTTGTATAAAATAAGCATATTCATTATTCTTAATTGCTTTCTAGTTACATGCATTGTATCTTTAAAAATAAAAAATAAAAAAAATTTCCATGCACTGACACATGTAATTATACCAATACTCTAAAATACAGCCACAACAAATAAACGGTAGATTGGAACGGCCACCAAAAGAATTATTTGATTATTTTTCTTTAATCTTATTTTTTTAAATAATTTAACTCCAAGTAAGGCAATAAAGCCACTAAGACGCAAGTGGTTACTGAGTGTTAAAGAATAAGACAAATAAAAATATTATTGAGGAGCAGAAACAGTAACAAAACAGGAATCAAGATGATAATAGACAACAATTTAATTGCATTTAAATTTTTGAAGATCAAAGTTCGCTGGAAAGCAAGAAGCCGGAAGAGATTTCCACTGGCGAGAGGTGCAAGAGAAGAACCTCTTTGCATAGAACTTACGGTTACAGCTAACCAAATCTACTCTAAATCGATGGAACCTTGCTGCCAATTTAGTCCTGCACTTGAATTCATAAAGTCTAGGTACCATAGCGAAGTGCTCCTCCGAAAAATTACCATGAAAGTATTTATAGAAAAGACACAGGGAAGCAACTTTACGGCGGTGAGAAAGTGACTGAAGCCGAGATGCCAGATTATGACCAATAATATTGCTGAGTCTTAATAAATAACTATTAAATAAATAGCAAGAGCACCGGACCATACCTTAAAACTATATCTTATCATATATATATATATATATATATATATATATATATATATATATATATATATATATATAGGGAGAGAGAAAGAGACAGAGTTCGCTAAAACTGTATACACACTTCAAGAAAGAAAAAACTTCTATAATTATTGTAATGCTAAATTTATTCAGACATCACGAGGTTAATGCATGTTACCCTTGGACTCTACAATCAAACTAGATGCTCAAAATGGTGGCCTTTATTAGTACGCTGAACTACTGCTTGGGCAACGTTAGCCAAATTGGGATTGCTGCACATGCATGTCTAAGGTGCCGCTAATGTTGTGGGTTTCCTGCGATGCATAACATCCTTTAGTGCCCCCACCAACAATAAACGGTGAAAGACAAGTTTTTCCTTTCCTGAAGTGCGTATACATTTTTTAACGGACTCTCTCTCTCTCTCTCTCTCTCTATATATATATATATATATATATATATATATATATATATATATATATATATTGTCACCTCCCGCCAATTTTCGCTTAGCAGAACTTATCGGTTTAGACGGATTGTTATTATTTTCACTGTTTAAAGAAAACAAAATGTCAAGTCAAAAACACGTATGCCCACAAAAAATATTCTTTAAAGTAATAAGAATATACTGGGGATAAAAAATTAGTTTTAAAAATTACGATATTTAATATCGTAATATTTATTGATGATATTTACCGAATTTATTTTACTATGTGGCTTTTCTCCATAAAAACTTCTATAAAATTATAAATATAGGATAATTTAATATAGTATGAATTCTAGTATAAAATATCTACGATATTTACTGAGAATCAAATAGTGTAAAATAATTTAATTACATAATTTAATTATATAATTAAGTAAATAATTTAAAATAAACAAATAATTTCTGTCTGAATTTCTGGGATGAGGAGTTATTATTTACACGATTTATATTCGGAATATTGTCTTCGTATTTTTAGTTGTTATCACGTTTCGGCTCTTGTGTCCTTCCGCCTTCATCAGGTGTATATCGATCTGGCCAACCTACAAGGAATCCTGAACTGAACCCTTTATTTGATCTACTCTCAATCTGAACATTGCCTTTATTCAATTTATGGGGATAGACTGTTCTCGTTCCACTACACATGTCTCGGAAGATTTCTTCTAGTGGATTAAAGTGTTGGTTCGTGAATTTGGTGACATTAATTCTGAGTTCAATCCCTGGGCCGGGCAGTGTGTACTTGGACTCAGTGGAAACGGACAAGCAATAAGTTAGTAGTAGTAAGAATAATAACTAAACGAGATTTCCCGAGATATGAGCAAGGAAACGAGAGCAGTCTACCCGCGTAAATTAAATAACGGCAGTGTTCAGAATTTCCAGTTTTTTTTTCAAAACATTTCACCCCAAGAAAGGCAGAAATGTCAATAGTGCGCAACGGGTTACAGAGATGGAAAATAAGAAAAAAAACTAAGTATAGGAAGGATTGAGGAAAGGATAAAAGCTGAATGGGATTCAAAAAGAAAAAAGATGGCGATTGATGTTGCATATAGATTTTTAAAGATTGTAGTTTTCAGGGAAGCAAGTAAACGGAAGGGAGTTCCACAAGCGGGAAGTGCGAGAAAAGAAACTGTTGGAATAGAAGTGGCGGTCAGATTTAACTATTTCAACAGTAAAATGGTGGGACCTAGATGCCAATCTAGTAGCACGTTTACATTCATGTAGTTTGGGCAGCAGAGAAAAAGCTCAGCAGAGTAGCTGTAAATGTGCAAGATGAACTCTGAGGCGGATGGTAGATGTAAATGTGCAAGATGGACTATGGGGCGGATGGTAGATGTAAATGTGCAAGATGGACTCTGGCGCGGATGGTAGATGTAAATGTGCAAGATGAACTCTGGGGCGGATGGTAGATGTAAATGTGCAAGATGAACTCTGAGGTGGATGGTAGATGTAAATGTGCAAGATGAACTCTGGGGCGGATGGTAGCTGTAATTGTGCAAGATGGACTCTGACGATAAAAACCTTCTGGCATAACACAATGACCCAACTTTCCTTGCAATAGATGCAGCTATTGATTCAATATAGTCGTTCCACTACAAGTCAATTGAAAATGTGAGGCCAAAAAGGCGCAATTTGTTGCTCTACAGGAGTCTAGTATCAGCCATATTGACGGTGGACAGGAAAGTTTCAGCTATGAGAGATTTGCTATTGAGACAGAAGTAAATGGTAATGTCCTCTACATTAAATACCTACTTGGGAACTGATGACAGATCAGAAACAGCGTATGGCCCAAGATAGAGCTTTGCCGGACAATGCGTTCGTGTGAAAGGATCTGAAAGTCACCCTGTTCAAAACGACCTTCAGTTCACAATTTGACAGAAACGATTGAATTAAATCAAACAATCGTCCTCTAATACTGTAGCCCTTGAACTTACGTAGAAGACTGTCAAACGCCTTCGAGATATCTGGAGCCATAGCTCGAGCTTCGTTGTTATTATCAAGAGCCTGATATACATATTCAGTCATGGCCGTTAAAACATCAGCAGTAGACCTGGTAAAACGGAAGCCATATTGTTTGTCGTGAGAGGTAAGATGCTTAATCACTCCAGTATTGATTAAAGCCTCGGATACTTTGCCGAAAAGCGATAGGAGACTAATAGGGCGATAATTAGAGGGATCAGAAGGTTCACCAGAATTCTTAAAAATAGGGACTACATAGGAGGACTTCCAGCAAGCTGGAAAGCAAGAAGCAACGCGGCAATAGTCGTAGAGTTTGGAGAGAACTGGAGCCAGCTTTAGGACGGAAGCTGGGATCCCGTCACCTCCGTTTACCTTATGGGAGTCTAATTTATAAATGATGTATGAGAGTAGTGACGGGGATATGTGTATATCACTGACTAGAGCCTCTGTTCTAGTGGAGAAATCAGGTTTGGGTATTCCAAATGAGTTGGGTGTTGAGTTGGAAAAGAATTACCGAGCAAAGCATTCAACCTTATCTGATGTAGTTGGCAATACTTTGAATAGAGGAGGGATTTAGGATTTGCTGTTGTTCAGCACACTCTTGCAAAGCCGCCAATAATCTCAAAAACAAAACTTGCGAGATGTTATACGTCG